TTAATTAGTGCCTGAGATTAGGAATCTCTAAACACTGTAACGTACAGAAAATAAACTGGAAAATAAAAGACTGAAATTTAAAGTGGTGATCCCCAAATCTGACTTTGCTTTGTTGAAGTTGATTGAAGATGCCTTGCCAAATGATTATCCAAGCCTTTAAATATTCTCCGGGAAACCGTACCGAAAACCGTCACCCGAACGGTTACAACGTCTCCTTCCAAACCGTCTTCCAACCCTTCTCATGCTGACACGCGTCCTCAGCAGACCAAAATTATCCCTATATTTCACTCTTTGAGCCGACCACAGACCTTCCGCTCTTTTGGCCCGACTACCAATCTACAATAGTATGGGTCCGACCGCCAATCCTCCCGACTTGCGAACCATCTGACTTGAGGTCTTTCCGCCTTGAGGACTTCCCGACCTGAAAACCTTCCGACTTGAGGTCTTTCCGCCTTGAGGACTTCCCGACCTGAAAACCTTCCGACTTGAGGTCTTTCCGTCTTGAGGACTTCCCGACCTGAAAACCTTCCGACTTGAGGTCTTTCCGTCTTGAGGACCTCCCGACCTGAAAACCTTCCGACTTGAGGTCTTTCCGTCTTGAGGACTTCCCGACCTGAAAACCTTCCGACTTGAGGTCTTTCCGTCTTGAGGACTTCCCGACCTGAAAACCTTCCGACTTGAGGTCTTTCCGTCTTGAGGACCTCCCGACCTGAAAACCTTCCGACTTGAGATCCTTCTGTCTTGAGGACCTACCGACCTGAGGTCCTTCCGTCCTAATGACTTTCCGTCTTGAAGACCTACCGACCTGAAGACCTTCCGACCTGAGGTCCTTCCGTCTTGAGGACCGACCGACCTGAGGTCCTTCCGTCCTAATGACTTTCCGTCTTGAGGACCTACCGACCTGAAGACCTTCCGACCTGAGGACTTTCCTTAGTAATAAACCTTTTTTCCTTGATTTCCTCATGGTACCCCTCAGTCAGTTCAATCAACTCTTGCCAGGTCCATCCTTCTTTTTACCTTGGGCTTTTAACCTAATTCTAAATTTCGTACGTAACAGAATGTAAATTAATTTTTAATATAATATAAAAAAATAAAAATTTAATTTTATATTTTTGAGATAAAAAATTATATATATAAATCAAATCCTATAAACGAACGCATCTATAATATACTACCAACCTCAAATTCTATTTTAGATTGAAATAAAGAGATTAACATTTATCTAAGCATTTTTAATTATCAAGTTCAAACACACTATTAACTTTATATGTGACTGATTATTTATATAATTTTTTATAAAAATAAATGTATATCTAGATAAAAATCGAAACTAAAATTATAGATTCTTAAATAAAATTGAATTATAAAATTTACGAAATAAAAAATTAAAATAAATATAAACAGGTGGTTATTGAATTGAAAGTGTCAAAATTGAAACGAAAAAAAAAAAAAAAATCAAAACAAAAAATACAAATTAATATCGTGATTCGAAAAATTCAATTTTCAATTACTTAGACAAATCAAAACCAAAGGTTCCAACAGTTTGAGAAGTCTAACTATTGGGCCTACTAATATGGGCTTTCAAAGCTCATAAGTCTGCACACAGGCCCATGAACAGGCCCAGAATGCCCTGCAACAACATTTGATTACTCCGACGAGCTTACAAATTTATTTTCAATTCAAAACATCACATCAATATCTATTTATATTATATTAAACAATTATTCAAATTCATTTTTTTTTTATAATAAAAAAAAACCAAACCCATAAACAAAATGCACTCTGTTTGGTTACCGCTTTAATACTCATTGATATTAAGCTCATAATTTCTTTTAAATATTAGGTTCTATTAGAGTCATTTAAAATTTTTATTTCTTACAACTCTTTAAAATATATATATATATAAAACTCTTCATTTATTTATATAATTAGTTTATATTAATTATAAATATAGATTATATTCTTTATATTTATCTTATATAAAATTTTGTTACGTATGAAATATATTTATATTTATAAATCAAATATTAATTAAATAAATTATTTTTAACTCAATTTTCAACTAAAAAAAACTCAATTGCTAACCAAACACACTTCAATTTTCCGTCACACAATGTAATTTATCTAAAACACTATGGGTGTGTTTGCTTGTAAGATTTTGATTTTAGATTTTGGTTTTGAATAGTAAATTTTGGATTGAAATAGTTTTTTGATACGATATAAATATGTATTAATGTGATCCTTGAATGTAAAATGATATTTTAGTTCAATATAATAAATAAATAATAAGTGTTTGATTTGATAGTTTTTTTAAAAAAAAAAAAAATTGAAATAATAAGAATGGGATAAAAAAATCCACAAGTAAACACACGCATGCGTGGTCTTTAATTAAATTTCACCAAAATTCTACTATTCATCAAAATACTTTTTTAAAAAAAATATCAAATTAAATATATATTAATTTTAATTAATAATTTTTTTGGAAAATATATAATTAAATTAATAAAATAAAAAAAAATGATAGATTGAAATGTAAGTAATTATGATATTTTTATAAATAGATATAATATTAAAAAATATATTTAAAACATTTGCTATAATTAAAAAATATATATACATATTTTCTTGTAAAAAAAATCAAAATATATACAGAGAAATCCTATTAAAAAATAATAATAATAAAAATAAGAAATAAATATTTTCTTGGAAAAAAAAAACACAAAGAACATACAGACGAATCCTATCCCATCCTACCAACCATGGGCCTACTCATTAGGCTCTCTTTTCATTTTCATTTTTACGAGAACGAAGCATATTTGCCAATTATTTTAAGTTTTTTCCAATTCAATTTTCATAATTCCTATAAAATATTATATATTATTCACTTAAAAACTACTCCATTCAGTCCACAAACTAACGTCTTATTTTCTCATTTGGAATATCCAACAATTATTGTCATTTTTCTATTTTTATACACAAAATTTACTCTTTTACTCTTACTTTATTTACTCTTTCATTTTATATACATAAAATTAAGGACAAATTTGTCATTTTATAACAAAAAATCCAATGGCCTAAAATTGCATGTAAATATCAAATAGTATATTAAAAAATAGACGGAATATTTATATAAAATCCAGTTAAATAAAAACTTCAATTTTCGAAAGTCATCTCTAATTTATCAATTATATACAACTACTACAATAATTTTATTCTAACCATAACTCTATTTTTTATTATTATCCTTTAAATATTAAAAAAAATTATTATTATAAAAAAAAATTCATTTTTATAAATTTAAAATGATTTTTTTAAAAAATTTAAAAAAATTAAAAAATTAAAAAATAAATTTAAAAGTTAAAATTAAAAAAAAAATTATATTATTATTATTATTATTATTATTATTATTATTATTACTCTCGAAAGAGCCAAATAACATTACTACAACACTACGAAGCCACTGCAGCTAGGCGCGGAAATAGGTCAGGCGGCCTGTCAAGCAAAGCCTGCCCTGCACAAAGCCTGATCTGATCTATTTATTAAAAAAGTCAGATTCAAATTTTTATTAAAGCATTTTTATTTAAATAAAGTAGGCTTAGATTTACAAAAAAAGTATTTTTATCAAACAAGTCAGGCCTGTTTAATAATAATAATAATATTATTATTATTATAAAAAAATATTTTCTCTTTACTATAGATTAAGAATAATTTTATATCTAATAATGATATATAAAAATATAATAATATTTTTTTAAAAAAATTAATTATAAATTTATTATAAAAATAAAAAATAAATAAAATAATTTTTATCCTAATTTAAAATTTTAATATATGAACTGTTGTTGGACACATATTGTTTTTTCCTACAATTTCTTTGTTTTATTTATCCTAATTAAAATAGTCTCAATTCTTGTGCATGGTGGAGCTATGTTATTAAATTTTTAAATATTTTGTAGAATTTTTCAATATTACTTTTTAGTTAATTGTTGTGTGTCTTCTTTTGTAAAAATAATCAACTCAATGAAAATAAATTGATGTAAAATATATATACTTTTAATATCATTATACAGTGATCTCTATTAGCTTTTATTTGGTATATGCAAACTTGCAATTCTAAATAATAATTTTTTTATTTTCTTATTTTTTATGAATTATAATATATATATTTTTGCAAACTATTACTATTATATATTTTACTTTATAGGACAAACTAAAATTATTATTTTTGTCATTGAAAAAACATAATTTTAATTTTTTTTATATATAGTGTAAATAATTGTATCTTTTTTATTTTTTTGTTATAATATTAAATTTATAAAAATATAATAAAAATTATTATGTAGTCTTTTAAACAGACTCGTAGCCCATGCCAGATTTTTAAAAAAGTCAGACTTAGGCTTTTAAAATATTTTTTCTTCGGACTTTAGGCCAGACTCAGGTTATATATTTTTAAAACATGCCAAACTTATTTAGCCAAAGTCTGACCGGCCTATTTCCGCCCCTAACAGCAGCCACTCTTCTTCTTCTTCGTCGGACCACCTTCTGAAATTACCTTATCCTTTAGAGTCACAAAAACAAACATCACAACATAATAAACATTACATTACATATCATGATTATTAAATTTAACTAATTAGTTATGAGTGTATGTAGTAGACTAGAAGATGAGAAAATGGTATAATCAAGTTGGATGCAGAATCTCTCGCACTCAGAAGCTTTTTTCGCATAATCAATGGAGGAAATCTCATATAGAGCTTGTCCGATTGGCAGAGGAGAGGACCATTCGTCTCGACTCAGACTCAAGAGGCTCTTCAATCGTTATACCCCACAAACGTCTGCGGACAAGGACGAATCCTGCAACAGAATGACGAAGAATCCGAGGAGGAGCTGAAGGAAGAAGCGCTTCTGCATTCTTACAGTTACAGTTACAGTTACAGAGATCTGAAAATTAACGATAATGAAAATGGAGACTGTACTCCATCAAAGTTGAAAAGCAGAGAAACAGAATTAAAGCAGATTTTGACATATTAATCAGAAACGCACAGACAGTTCTCGATCACACAAAACGGAAAGGAAAAAAACACAAAAAAAGCAAAGCAAAGCGAGTGTATATATATATATATATAAATATAAAATACTAAGAATTATTATTGCGTGCGCGCAGCTCTGTAATAGCAGTAGCGGTAATAACAATGTAAGAAGGAATTAAGCCGGCGGCGGCGGTTTGACGGTGACAGCAGGGAAATCGAGGAGGAGAGCCTTGTCAATGGCGGCGGAGAAAGAGGATGAGAATTGGAGATGACTTGGATGGGCGAGGAAGGAAGAGAAGTCGTCCTTGGAGCTGAATGTCATGAGGAAAGCATGCGTGAATCCCTGTCTCAGCATTTCCTGGCTCTCAATGTCCTCACCCCTGCCAATGCCAATGCCAATGCCAATTCAGTTCATCACCAGTTAATAATTAATTAATTAATTGAAAAGAGAGACCAGAAGAAGGAGTTGATGGTGTCCATTTCCGAAACAAGCTTCTCCATTCCTTTCAACACCTCTTCCACTTGAACGCCATCCTTGAACTTCACCAGCACCAAATGCTTGAACTCACTACCAGATGCAGAAGCCATGATATGATCTCACTAGCAAGTAAGTTGCAGACTGCAGTGTTGTGAGCTACTGACCTCCTAAAAGGATGGGATGGATGGGTTGTGCTGTTATATATATATATATATATATATATATTTTATAATATGAAAATTCACAAGCGATTATTTGACTAGTGTGCTTTGACACTATATATATATATATATATATATTTTGATAATTTGAGAATTACAATCGCTATCTGAAAATATTGCATTAAATAAATTTTCAATCAAATTTAATACCGTACAAACTAAATCTAACAAAACAAATCATACTAGACGAGCTGTATAACAGATAAACCCGAAGTGAGTCTGTGTTTAGCTGGGGACACTCTCGCTGTCTAGAATATATGATTTCGATTTTGGTTGTGTGGTGATACTGACTGCCATTTCCCATTGTCTCAACGGAGGGGCCTAACTCCCACTACCCATTACCCCTTTGTAAAAGGACTTCTCCTTTTTTTTTTTTTTTTTTTCTTTTTTTTTAAGCGGATTTTGAATATTTTTATATTTTTAAAATTTTATTTTGTATTATATTAATAATTAATTTATATTTAAAATAATAAGTTAATATTTATTTATATTATTATTAAAATTCAATTTTTTATTATTTAGAACTTAAAAAATTCAAATTCTGAACAAACATATTAATAAAGTTTTCTCCCTTTTTTTATGATTTTTTTTAAAAGTTAAAGATTGAGTAATAAAATAAAATAAAAAAGACAAGAAATATTGTGGTCATGGGAGCAAATCACATGATACGAATTTGCCTTCATTAAGCACATATAAAATAAATAAACATCACATATACTTACATATAATTATAGTTAATAAAACACATATTATCTATATATTATATATCTTGAGGCCGGTGCCAAAACTTTTTTCTTCTTACAACTAAAATATTTATCTATATATTATGCGTACAAATTTATTTGATTAAATTTTAAATTATTACAACTAAAAAAATAACAGTTATTTCAAATATGAATAAAGTGCTAAATATACACATATATTTTGAATCTCATAAAAAAATTAATTTTTTTTATTTATATAATTTTTTAGATTTTTTTTTCTAATTATGAATTATGATTGAGTTTAATTTTTGAATAAGATTAATTTCGAATTTATTTATAAAATTTTATAAATTTTGAATTAAAATTTTATCTAAATTATATAATACTAATTCTTTATGTTCACGCTAATTTTTTCTATTTTATTTATAATTTATATTTGTCTGATATATATATATATATTTAAAGAAAATATGATATACAGTATATTTTTTATAGTAATAATGATAGTAAATAAAGATTAATAGTTAAATAATATTTTTTTCTACACAAATTAAATAGAATAAAATTAACAAAAAATATAAAAAAAATTAATAAATAAAAATATAAAATATAAAAAGACCGTTCACACGGATTTCCTACTAATATTATATACAAGTATATATTGTATGTTCACATTTATAAGTATGTAGTACAAGACTCCTTTCGTCATAGATAATTTGGATTTATCACGGTAGGTACGAAAATTTAGGTAAGATATAATTAGTAAATAATTAAAATGTATATTAACAAAAATAATTATATTTTAAGATAATTAAATATTTTGATTAAAATTAATAAAATTATAAATATAAAATTTAAAATATGATTAAAATGTATAATTATATTTTTTTTTAAAAAAAAGATAAATTATATAAGACATACAAAGAAAAAGGAACAAAGATTAAAAAAGTACTATATAATGTGTTAAAATCAAGTCGGTGTTATATGTCATATCCTGTTAATTTATATGTAAATTACATATAAATTAATAGTACATATATATATTTATGCATATTTATTAGCACATAATGTACAGTAAATATTAGTAAATAATTAAAAATTCTATAATTAATAAATAATTAATAAATATATTAATAAAAATGATTATGATTAAACAAAAATAATTATAAATTAAAAATACAATGACTAAATAATTTAATTAAAATAAAAAGATTATAAATTATAAATTTAAAATACGATTAAAATGTATAATTATATTTCAAAGAAAAAGAATAAATTAAGTGAGACAGATCAAAATAAAAATAATGGACAAATTAAGTGAGACGGAGATAGTATTATAATACTCCCTCCATCCCAATACAATAGTCTTGTTTACCATTTTTGTCCGTCCCAAAACAATAGTTTCATTTTCATAAATAATCATATTATTATAAAACTACATTTACTTTTTTTCCATTATTATTACACAATTTCCACTACTTTTTACACTAATACACTAATAAGGACAAAAAAATCTTTTATCTGTACTTTTTACCCACTATCTATATAATATCAATATTCCTTAAATTCCGTGTCAAATCCAGCCCAGACTATAATTTTAGGACGGAGGGAGTAGTAACAATCGGATAAAAGAATCGCTATCCTACCGCCACTCTTGACTGTTTCAAAATATAAATTCGTAAGGGATGGTCCGGTGTGACTTGTTGTCGGGCCTAATTTACAGGGTATTAGGTTCGACCTGGAGTTTACTCAGTACGTACTTTCGGATAACGACGGTGGATTTTCAAATCATAAAAAAATATAATAATAATAATAAAAAAAAATAAAATAAAAATGATGTGAAAAGATTATAGTACTTCATTATTGAGCTTACTTCTTACTAGGTAGGCTATAAATATATAGAGAGACATGGGAATAGGGTGATGATAACATCAGACACGTTGCAGACAGAAATCACATGCATGGCTGGCACGTGCGGGTTCTGAAAGTGATGGCTTATTATATAATTGCCTGCTTTTATCATGAGATGAGATGATCACGAGAAAAAAAAAAAAAAAAAAGTAAAATTGGTACATACATGTTTTGATTTGACATTAAAATAAAATATAATTAGATGTTATATAAGAAAAAAATATATATTTAAAAAATAAAGAATTTAAATAATAAAAAAAAATTGAGGTCTAAAAATATATATTTCATTCGTTCATCTCTAATAGTTATATTTACTTTTTGCGTTATTATATATAATATTAAAAATATTTTTATATTTGTATAATTTTTTATACAAATGTTTTTTTATTAGTATTATAAGATACTAATTGACGTATTTTATAATTCTTTTTTAAATTTGTACTACGTTTTGATATAATTACTAATAATATTTAAAGATCAAAACAAAAAATAAATGAGATGTTATAACTAGAAGTAAATAATACTAAATAATTAATACACTTTACAAGTGAGTGAGTGGTACTGGTACGTACGACTCGAGTCGAGTCGACACGCAATCCCGGCCGGCCGGTCTGGTCCAGATGCATGCATGTATATTTGTAGCTAATTATTTAGCCAACTTTGCCCCTCTCATCTCTTTCACTTTAGCTCAAATAGAAAGTAAAGTGAGCAGTAGTACTTACTGCATCTGTATCTGTATCTGTATCTGTATCTGCATCACAACAGTTGCCGTGGTAGAATCCATTTGCCAGTTGGTAGGTAATATGTCACTTTTCCAACCAACAAACAATAATTTTAGAATGGTTGGAATTTTGAGTTGAGATTTAAATATTAAAAAATTTGAATTGAAATAGTTGTATAATGTAATATAAATACGTATTGATGTTATATTTTGAATGTAAAATTAATTTTTAATATAATATAAAAAATAAAAAATAGGTGTTTGATTTAATTTTTTTTGAAAAAAAAAATTGAATGAGTAGTTAAGATTTTTACAAATCCTCCAAACAAACACACCTTTAAAATATATATCCTTACATAAATATTCACGGTGTGTTTGTTTAGGTTGAAAATTTTGGCCATTCAATTATTCTCTATAATTTAAATATAATTCAATTAAAATAATTAATTTATATTTTAAAGATATATTATATAAAAATAATATTTTATTATTTTTTATATTATCGATAATAATATTTTTATTAATATTAATAATATTATTTTAATATATTTTATTTTAAATTTATCTATTGTGCTACCAACACAAAATATTGACTAATTTACTTTTAACACGCATTTTAATATAATATGTACTTTTTTATTTTTGTAATAAAAAGATTATAGAGAAAGTAGTAAAAAGTGGTATGATTTTAAACAAACTTATCTTTTTATGATATAAATTATAAATAAAAAATAAAAAACAACGAGTCTATTGTTTTTTTTAGGCAAAATTGTCCATAATTGTGGTTTAGAAACTCAGTGTAAATTTTCCCTTTACTTTAAAAATTGCATGACGTCCCCTTATACTTTAAAAAATGTTGTATGAAACCACTTTGTGGTTTCAAAACTCAGTATAAATCCCCATTTTACTTTAAAAAATTGCATGACGCTCATTTATACTTTCAAAAATATTGCATAAAACCCCCTCTGCCATGCAAAACATATAGATAGAAAATCATCGATTTTCTTAGAGGAAAGTTTTATGGTGGTGGAGTTTTATGTAACGTTTTTTAAAGTATAAGGGGGTACCATGCAATTTTTAAAGTATAGGAAGATTTTAGGCTGAATTTTGAAACCACGTGGCAGTTATAAGCAATTTTACCTTTTTTTTTTTTTTTTTTTTTTTTTTTACAGTGTATTTCTTACTTTTGTTTTAGATTTTGTTCGTCCTTGGGCTTTGATAGATTGTTATTTTGGGTCGGGTGTTTAATGTTCGCCCACCTTATTGATGAGGTTTGATGTATTTGGGCTTCTCCAAGTTTAGCAGTTTGGGCCGGCAGCTGTTGGTCAGTCTCAATGGGCCTTATTTGGGCCTAACTTGCTCTCTTATATCTTTCCTTACTCTTCCTTGGGCTTTAGTTAATTATCTGAGAATATATTCATGTAAATTGCTGATTCCCTAGCAATGCTCTTACACCCTATTTAACCAAAATAATAAAGCTTATAGAGTTTATATAATTTATATATAAACTTAATTTAATAAATAAAATCGAATTAAAGAATAAATATAAAATTTTCTATTATGTATATGTCAAAGGTAAATTAAAATTTAATAAAAATACTATTATTTTTTAAACTTTGCGCCAAAAGTAAATGTAAAA